GCATAAACTGTAATGATCAAGCCTAGGTATTTGGGTCTTTATCATTTCTTTGTGTTAGGAACATTTCAAGTTCTCTCTTCTAGCTACTTGCAAATGTACAACACATTGTTGTTAACTATAGTTATCCTATTCTGCTGTTGAATATTAGAACTTATTCCTTCTATCTAACTGTATGTTTGTACCCATTAGTCAATCTTTCCTTATCCCCCCACTCCCACACACCCTTCCCAGCCTCTGGTGTCTGTCATTCTACTTTCTACCTCCGTGAGATTGACTTTTTTAGCTCCCACATATGAGTGAGAACGTGAGATATTTGTCTTTCTGTGCCTGGCTTATTTCACTTAACATAATGACTGCCAGTTCCATCTATGTTGCTGCAAATGACATGATTTCATTCTTTTTCTTATGGCTGAATAGTATTCCGTTACGTATATATACCACATTTTCCTTGTCCCTTTGTCCATCGATGAAAACTTAGGTTGATTGCATATCTTTGCAGTTATGAATAGTGCTCAATAAATATGGGAGTGCAGGTATCTGTTTGATATACTGATTTCTTTTCCTTTGGACAAATACCCAGTGGCTGGATTGCTGGATCATGTGGTAGTTCTATTTCTAGTTTTTTGAGAAATCTCCATACTGTTTTTCATAGTGGCCATACTAATTTACATTCCCACCAACAGTGTGTAAAAGTTCCCTTTTCTCTGCATATTCACCAGCACCTGTTGTTTTTTGTCTTTTTAATGATAGCCATTCTAACTGGGGTTGTTTTTGACACATTGTTCTATATTGTTTGTTAATCTATCCCATTTATAACATTTTGTATTGCCATTTGGGTCTCTCTTGGGCAGTTTTCATATTGCTTCCCCCTCCCACCTTATGATGTGATCATATTAAAGTGAGGATGCTGTTTTCCAACAGGGCCCAGTAATGAGATCCCTCATTACACATCCTAGAGAATCTTTCTGTGGGCCCCGGGGTCCTCTTTGTTGAAAGAGTTCAGCCATCTGTTTCTTCCAGTTCCCCCTGCTTCACATATTGCCACAGTATGTGACACTCCAAGCCTATAATTCTCATCATGCCTCTTTCTTTATTAAATTTTAAAAGAGTATATCCAAGAGATAATGAACATAGCACCTACGGCTTTCCAAATAGTGTAGGAAAAATGCACAGAAACCCATTGTAGAACAAAGTTTTAGAATTTCTGATACAGTTGTTATGCAGACTTGGCATCCGTGAAGGATGGCCAGGGCAGAGGAGGACAGATGTGCTGTAGAGTGGTGAGCAAGAGCTGTTGCCTGAACGCTGACTCCCCAGTCCTCAGAGGCTCTCAACCATGTGGCACTTCCCTGCCCTGCTATGGGCTTCCTCATTTCAGAACAAATGATTACCCAATCACAAACTTTGAATTAGGAAATTGTCGTTCTTACTATGCCCTGTTTTTCGTCAGTATTTATTGTCATTTCGCAATCGATCATTGTGGCATTCCAAATTTTTCCACAAGCATGTGGTATGAGACATCAGAGAATGTGGAGTATTAGAAAGAGATTAATTATGCAGGAGAAAGTATCATTTTACAAATACTGTTATTTTTATCCACCTTTGGGAAGGAAATTCAGAAAAAGAAAATGGTTTTTAAAGAACACTGATAAAAATTTTGTAAACAGTTTTCTGTTTTGTTATGCCGATTTTTTTCCTTAGTACTACAGTTTCTATTTACTCCACCAGTCACACAACTTCAGTTAATATTTTGTTTACTTTGAGTTTCATTCAACTGAATCAACTAGTTATTTTAATATTAGGTTAAAAGCAGTTTTTTTAGTTTTTGGAGTTGCAGATATGTTTTCAAATAAAGGAAATTAGAGTTCTTGATGAGATTCTGAAAGCCATCCAATTGTGCTTTACTTTGAAAAACTGGATATAGAGCATTCCTTAGGTACAAATCAGAAAGGTTACTATTCATATCATTAAGAAATCACATGTCTTACAAAAGAACGTAATGATTTACTGAAACAGAACTCATACCTGGTGATTTAATCATTTATATTTAATTTTCAGAAATTTTATTGGTATTATCAAATTATAATTACAAGAACATTAAGTTAAGCATAAAAATCACCTTATTCTGTATCTCTGCTTTGCCAGTAACGAATTTAATCTTTCTGGAACAGTGGGTTGTTGTGAGTGGTTCTAGAGAGGGCTCAGAAAACTAAAATTTATATGTCCTGGGCCACAATCATTCTTTTCACCTACTCTCATCTTTCTTTTTTTGTTTTGTGTCTTACTACCCTGTCTTTTTACTAAAAAACTTTTACTAGTAGTCTCAGTACAAGAACATTTGCATTAAATTTGTCTTACAATATTGATGTGGTTCCAGATTTTTCTTAGCCCAGCATCCTCCCCATCCACTAAAAAAAGCTAACCAAAGCGAAATCACAAGTGCCTCATTGTGCAAGAATACTGTGACACTGTTCATGTAATAAAAAGTTTGTGTTAGAATTTCACTCACTTTAAATCCAGGCCATCTTCTATGAAATGAGTCTGTCATTCATTACAGGATGTATCCGAAATAAGCCTGACACTTTCAGTAATTAAGAAACCCTTTACTGTTCTGTGTGCCAGGCACTGTGCTAGCTTTGCAGATTTAACTGTGAATACTCTAGCCAGAGTTCTTGTCTAAACAGTCTAGGGCAGCGGTTGGCAAACTTTATTAAAGGGCCAGATAATAAATATTTTAGGTTTTAGGGCCATCAGGTTTCTGTCACAACTAGTGGACTGTACCACCATTGAAGGTAAAAGAATGGTGTCACTATGTTCCAAAATTTTATTTACAAAACAGGCCACTGGCATCACCTACAGGTGAATTTGCCTGACCCTTACCTAGTCTAGAGGATGATGGGAGAGAAAGGGGATTCAAAGATCACAATAATTTAGCTGGAATATATCCCTTTAAATACATTTATTACACTCAGTAGAGGGTTTTAAGTTAACTTATTTACTTGGATTAAACAATGGTAGAAGAAAGTCAATTTTCTATTGAAACTTGACATTTACGGACACATTACAAAGTAGCTTTACTAGACTAGCATGAATGTTACCATAATATCATCTTATCCTTAATGCTCTATGCTTCATTGTGCTGTGAGCTTTCTGGCTGCTTTAGAATATGTTTTTCAGCCTGAATATTATTCTAAAAATAAACTGCTTATCATTCGTAATATATCAAGTGACTAAGGTAAGCTGTAAGGCAGTGAGTTAAGTAGAAGTAATAAGATCATTTAAAAAATAATAAGGGCAGGTACAGCGGCTCATGCCTATAATCCCAGCACAGTGGGAGGCCAAGGCAGGAGGATCACTTGAGCCCAGGAGTTCAAGACCAGCCTGGGCAACATAGAGTGACCCCAACTCTATAAAACATAAAAAATAATTAGCCAGCTATGGTGGCACATGCCTGTAGTCCCAGCTACTTGGGAGGCTGAGACAAGAGTATTGCTCGAACCCAGGAGTTGGAGGTTACAGTAAGCTGTGATCATGCCCCCACACTCCAGCCTGGGTGATAGACTGAGACTCTATCTTATTGAACAAAAAAGAAAAAAAAAAAAAGAAGAACTGATGATATAAAGTGAAGTTTTGTGTTTAATTTGGGGGAAATGAGCATTTTTGTGTATTAAAAGAAGTAGAGTTTAACATTCCTTACAACCTGTTAACAGTTTGAACTCGTCCCTGGTTTTTCAGCTGGTCAAAAAAAGCTCCTTCCTCTGTGTTTTTTGTCAGCATCCTACAGCTATTATAAAGTGAGCGGTTGTATTGGATGCAATTTGTTGCTTCCACATTTAGTCATTTGTAATGGGCAAACTGGATATGTGGGGAGTTGTTCCCTATTACTCTTATTTATCTTTCTTTGAATAAGAGGTCCTTTGTTCCCTGTTTCCTCAACACAGAACAGAGGTTTTGTATCTTAGTGTTCATTCTCTGCTACTTCTCTATTTTCAAAGAAGAAAACATTTGCTTCCCTCCGTTCATTCCTTCCACACAGGGGTCCCCAACCTATCGTGAGTTGTATAATTATCTCATTATATATTACAATGTAATAATAATAGAAATAAAGTGCACAATAAATGTAATGTGCCTGAGTCATCTCGAAACCATCCCCTTCCCCCTTTAGTCATGGAAAATCTGTCTTCCATGAAAATGCTCCCTGGCGCCAAAAAGGTTGTAGACCGCTGTTCTACAGGGCATCCAGAGGATTTTGAAGACTTGTGCCAAGAATTCTTTGGGGGAGATGGAGCATAGCCGTTGTGAAGTAGAAGTTCATTTCTTAATGACATTAACAAATCACTGGGAGCGTTGCTGTTTTTATAACGGGAGACGCCCCTTTCTTCTTTCCCAAGTGCTCCACGTGAGTCCTGTGATGCGAGTGAAGAAGGGATGTGTTTGCTTTTTTGCATCATGTTACCTCATCTGATACTTTGTCTTTGTTTCTGATATCACTTGAAATGTGGTTCTGATAATCTATCAGGCAGTGCACGTTGGCCAAATTCTGAATGCAGGCAAGATTTGTTTGGCTCCCATAGGGCTAAATTTCTGTGTGTTGCCAACAATGAAAAGTCAAGTGATCTCACTTTTTCCCCTCTGTGTCATCTAGCCAATGGATGTTCAGTTACTATTCTTTAATAATGGTGCTGATTTTCCTTCCCCAGGCTAAAGATCTAATAATCACACCAGCCACCATTTTAAAGGGAAAACCAGACCCAAAGGCTCTGGTTTTCGGAACTGTGTTCACGGATCACATGTTGACAGTGGAGTGGTCCTCAGAGTGTGGATGGGAGAAACCTCATATCAAGCCTTTTCAAAACCTGTCATTGCACCCTGGCTCATCGGCTTTGCACTATGCAGTGGAAGTAAGTCCGTGGGATTTCATGGTGGTGGCGTGCTTGTCCTTTGCTTCGTGGGCTGAGGAGCTCTCCTGCTAAAATAAAATAGGTTTTGGGGTAATATGTGCTTTATCATGTTTACTGTGGGAAGTCAAAAATATCTTTAAAATTTTTCCTGTAGACAGTTGGATTGAGGATAAATCATAGGAACTTATTTTTTGGGTAATCTTAAATTATCTGTGATGTCAATAAAAAAATCATTTGGAGCAAACAGAAAGGACAATTGGTAAGAAAATTAGCAATCAAAAATCTAGTCCTGTTGATATTTTACTAAGTCACCTCTGTTCTCAGATCTTCTAATAGTTGAGAAGGGGTCATTAAGTACAATATTATTAGATTTTAATGTTAACACCGTGTTTTTATGACCAGTAATAGTGTGTAGTTATGTATGTTAAGGGACATGTAATTAAATGTCCTTCTTCAGGCATGAGTTGAAATAATTAGAAGCGTAAAACGTTTTGAGAATTCTTTTCTTGGTCCCCAGCATACACAGTTAACCAGATACACAATATATACCCCATTCCCTTAATCCCTATTTTATTTCTTTTTAATGTGCTGGATATCTTTCCCAGAATATTGTGGGTACTGGAAATAGTCATCTCCCTAGTAAGGTACTAAAAGATGGTAATAGTAAAATATTAATAGATATAATGATACAGTAATTACTTTTGTTTATTGAATTCCTGCAATGTGTCCTGTATTATGCTCCTTATATGAATCATCT